CTGGCGCACTATCGCGCTGCAGCAGGCCAACTATTTCACAGACACCGTCAGCCATTGTTCCGGTCTCTCACAGCCAGCTGAAGTGGTGCCCATACGGTGGTGGCGAGCTGACGTCAGGCGCAGGTCTTCCAGACACCAAGCTAGGCGCCTTCGTCCACTTGCATCACCACAAGAATGGCGACATCTTCTTCGTTAGCATTCGAAGGACGGGTAAAATCTGTGCTCCCGATCAAGGCTTATGTAGTTCGACTCAGTTTGCGTTCACAAGCTTGGCGAGGCCTGCACGCCTCCAGACCAAAAGAGCCACCGCTTCGTGCTAGTCGCCAGACACGAAGCTCGCTGGTCTATGCGTCAGCGTCATCAAGCTTGCGGGTCTATGCGCCAGCGTTCCAAAGCTCGCGGGTCTACGCGTCAGCGTCCCGAAGCTCGCGGGTCTACGAATCAGCGTCCCAAAGCTCGCGGGTCTATATGTCAGCGTCCCAAAGCTCCCGGGCCTACGTGTCAGCGTCCCAAAGCTTGCAGGTCTACGGCTGAACAGCCGAGCAGTATTTGAACCCAGACGGCTGGGACCTGACCCGGGCCAGGCGGGCAAGGGCTGCGCTCTCCCGCTCGCTCGCCCGGCCCGGCCACGACATCACCAGATGAATAATTGATGAGCGCGAGCGGCGGCGCGCAGAGGCATGACCCAGCCGACGGCTATATTCATTCATTTATGTCTGATTTATACCAGCGGAGCCAAGGTGAGCGGGCGTAGGGGGGCCAGCTGCAGCCCGGGCCGTGGGGAGGGCGGCGCGTGCCCTGCCAGCCCGCGGGCTCGCACGCTGCCGCCGACGCATCACAACACAGCCGGCGGGGCTCCGCCGGCGGGGCTCCGCTGGCCGCAGCCACGCGCGGCCACACGCCGCACGGTCTCGCGCGCAGGTGACGGGCACACGCCGCAGGCGAGCCTTCAGCACGTCCGTCAGATATCAGGCGATCCAATCGCCTTGTTCGTCTACATGGACGCTAGGTAGTTAGCCTTATACAGGTGGCCAGCTTGCTTGCTTGCTAGCGACCATGCTTTGCTAGCGGCCATTGCGTCAGCCCAGCGCTGGTATAAAAACACTCCAGCAGGTGCCTATTGACAAGAAGAAGCCAGGTAACGGCACACGTGGGCTTCCAGGAAGTGATTGCGATCACAAAATAAAATACCACGTGGCTAACGACGTAGAAAACAAACAGCTTCATGGACCATTATTCTCTTCCCTTCTCCTTCTTCAGCTGCATTTAGCAGAGTCTGTCAACTCAATGAGTCGTAAAACCGGCAATTTAATGCAGTGACAGCGCCACCAGCAGCTTGTAAAAGTGAGAACTTTTACCTGATAAACGTTGTCATCAGAGTAGATGCGTATAGCATGAAGAGCAGCAAACAAAGAGTGAAATAATTTCATTCGGTGCGTGCGCGAATGCATATACACAAGAACGCAGGCACCGGGGAGAGGGTAGAGGAGTGAGCTACTAGCCTTCTGTTCTGTATTGCCCCTATGAGCATTAATTGGATAGAGGTAACTAATAACGGCTATCGGTCCTCAAAACTTAGGAGAACCTTCGTTGTTTATGCATATGTACAAAGAAAATAACCATCACAGGCACAAATTAGTTCAACGTGAAACATCAATAGTTCCTTTCTGCGTAATGCGTGCGACTGCTTTAGACACGTCACAGTGATGCCTTTCAATCCGCATGTATTTAGAAAAGGAAAATATACAGACACCACCAGGTGAAGAATCGTGTGCCATTCTCCAGCTGGGCCTGCTCTTTTTCAGACACTCGGCTCTCAATACGGCTCAGCGAGCTAAGCAGCAGCATGAATGGTCTCTGCAGCCTTGACGTGAGCGCAGATACAGTCGTTGGTGGACAAGTACAAACCATGTCCGAAGTGCAGAGCCCGGTACTTGCATAGGCGCGGTGATCTCATCGTCATGCCGGAAATGTATGAGCTGAAGTGTTGGGCCAGCTCCATTTCAAGACAGCCCATGCACTCCAGCAATCTCTCATACTAATGCTTTCGGGAACCCAGTGAACCCCAATGCACGCCCGAAATGTGTTTCCAGCGAGTTTGACAAGCGGTCGGAGAAGCAGCCGGCCGGTGACTTCAACGGCCGGGTGTGACCGTATCGGAGAGTGCAACGCGCCTACCGCGGCACATGACACGAGCACGGCGCGCCGGCTGGGCATGTCGGATCACCTTGCCGGCGCCCCCCCCCCCCCCCCCCATTCAGCCGCTCCCTGGGTGCGAGCCGAGCCGAGCTTACAGAGACCATCACACCGCCGAGAGCCACTCTTCGGGTTGGCAAGGGCCGGCCTGGGGGAGGGGGAGGGGGAGCGGGAGATCAACTACCGGCGTCATGCGGCTGCGCGTACGTGGCGGCCGAATCTCCGCACGGCTTCAGCCGGCTCCGACGCCCAGTCCTGCGGGACCGGAGCACAAACCTAGCCGCCGGCACTCCCAGCGGCCGTCCGCAAGCTGATGTCACTCGGTGTGACTGCCTGGCCTTCAGTGCAGGAGTACCTGTCGCTGCATGACGGCAAGGTTATCCGCTAATCGCTCCCTAAAGGACTACACGCCCACCTGTGAAATCAAGAGCGTTTCCAGCTGTGCTCGCAAGACCAGCCACTCAGCCGTGCAGAAGCAGCTTCTCAGCTTTGCATAAGTACGGTTCCCCAGCTGTGGCTGCGAGACCGTCGCAGCCGTGACCGCAGAGGCCGATCGCTGCCGTGACTGAGGCAGTGACTGGCCAGCTGTGACGCGGCGGCCGGTGGCGACCGGTGGCGGCCGGTGGCGGTCGGCCAGGCTGCACTCTCATCTGCACACCGACCACAGCCTCACGCCACTCGCCAATGAATGGCCCGGTCAGACGGCCCACGGCGGAGAGGCGGAGCGCGGTCCGGTGAGTCAGGCGGCGGCGCCAGCGGCACGGTCAGATGCCAGCAGGCGGCGGCGCCAGCGGCACAAACCCCAGCCAGCTCCAGCCAACAGCAGCAATGCCGTCGCTACGATCGTCTGAAGTTGGATAGAAGCGAGCAAGTGTAGCGGACTACGAGTGCTAATTGAAACATGTCTGGGTGGCATTTCTTCAGCATGACTTACGCTAAACCGCATTGTCTCAAGTATTCTTGTGGTGCCTCAACACGCTCCTGTTAGTTTTTGGAAAGTTGACTCTGTTGTAAGCAAATCGTTGATTTATTTTAGTGAAGATAAGCGGACAGATGATGTCTGGGAATACTGAAGACCGGCCCTCACATCCGAAAGTGTAACACCTGAACCGTTATCTCGTAAATTCAGACACGCCCATGACGAGAATACGCGCCGAGATGCGTCGTCAAGCAAGCAGATATAGCGTATCAAACAGTGTTTGCGATGAAACATATGTGTGAAGCTCTTTCATGGGCTACAGACTGTCGAACACAACACGCCTCTGAGTCATAAACTCGGAGATGGCCTCGCCCAGAATCATGCCCGCTATTACTGCATAGTTTGAGATCACATTTGGTGTGTGGGCTAGCGGTGAGACTGTTTTCATTACGAAGGGGTCTCGGTTTCACGCGCCACCCGGAAACATAACGGGACAAGACCGGAATGTCGGACTGAACAAAACAGAGTCAAATATCCCGTAAGTGAAGATGTTTGGGAACGCAAATAACGGATGGACACAGATTTGCTGCGCTTGGTATAGCTTCCGTCTCTTGGGGCAACAGTGTAACATGGTGTAACATCATTACCAGTGCCTGTATCTGAAACATTCGTGTCCTTTCTCATCGCATTCAGAATGTTCTTCAAAATATAATGGCTCCGGTCCGTTTGAAGCATTTCCTAAGCGGACGCAACGTACGACGTCACGTACCACATTATGGAACACCAGCGGCTGATAGCTACATTAACGCTCAGGCGCTACGGTGCAACCGAGATTCGAACAAGGGCTGCCCACGTGATAACTGAAGATGTTATCCACACGCCCATTGGGCCCCGGTCCATTGAATATCAAGAAATCAGATGTTTTTGCAGTCCGGTTGCGCGAAGGGCTGGGACCGCGGCTATTTGACAACACTGCAACTCGCGGCACGTTAGTGACACCAACAACAATTTAGATGTCTCGGAGATCTAGCTCGCAAGTAGTGCTGAGCTCGTCCGAATTAGTTTCAATGTTCGTAGAGATGCCATAAACATCGCAATATGATAAGGAATATGTTTCCCATTACGGCGGCAGCTACGGCTGTTGGCTGAACGTCGCAGATAGATTATCTTGTCTGATCACAGGCTTCACGAATATACGCGCGGCCACCGTAACCCAAAGGATTTCATAAGTAACCTCGTACTGATGCTCGATATTCAGGTGTTTAAGAACCCGCTGGCATAAATGGTTACCAAGTCACGCATGTGTCACGTTTTATCCGCGTTTTTCGGCCCTTTCAGTCAACAATGTTCACTTCGGGGCTTCAGAGTTAAGCAACAGGGGAGTTGTGTGGTCAGCCCGCGGCCTTCTGGGGACAGCCGCTCCCAGGCCTTACCCTGCACAGGGACCCTGCTCTAGTGTCTGTGCGACTGCTCGGGTGGGGCTCCTGCCATGAGCTGCCTCGTGGCTGACGGCCACAGCCTGCCTCGGAGAGACGGGGAGCTAGGAGACTCCAGGATCAAGCCACGAGTGAGAAAATGAGGGTGGGTGAGCTTTGATGCAGATGTTTATAAAGTTTTTCTTCGTTGTTCGTTCAAAGCAATTTTAAGTTCTTGCTTCGCTGCAAACTAGCAGCGCATTGCCATGATTCACGTGCCAGATTCGTCGCAATACATTCCATGGGAAAATTCCTTATCCATCAGTCTCTCTTCAATATCTCTCAATAACGCGATCTCCAAAATGGCACGGAAAAGGGCACCTGCATGGTTCTGATTACATGTACCGCCCAGTCATAAGAACTTGTCTTCAGGTCCCGTCGGTATGCAGTCACCGACCACTAAGACTCACCTTTGGCGCATGTTGTCAAAGTTCCAGGACACAAGCCTGCCGCGTGGACGGGTTCGACAGAGCTCGTCCAACGCGGCGGTCACTGCACCGACGTCCTGCGACACAGCCGCTCCCTAGGCGGCCACCGGCATACACCACCACCCCACAGCACTTCCGCAGGGCTCACTGCCCGACTGTCCTCTGCTGGAAGCGCGCGTGGGGTGATCGCGCATGCGCACTGCGCGCCAGGTGAGGCGGCGCGCGGCGATGCCGCTAACTGCCGCCAGGGTGTGTCGCGGTCGATGCCGGCATGCTTGCTGACGGCACTCATGACCGATGCAAATGGCTTTCACTACGGCGCCGCGCGGTGCCAGGCCGGCGCTCGTGGTGGCGGTGGCTCACGCCGCCCGTCCGCTCCTTGTTTACATGCGCCCGACACCCTGAACAGAGGCTGCCCGCCGCCGGGTACGGGTTTGTTTAGCCTCGTTCAGGTATGCAACGGGCTTTCCTCCTGTTTCTTGGACGTTGCACACACCAGATGGTAACCGCTATACACTCATCCACCGTCAAGACTTCGTCCAGGTTTTAGCCTAACTTTAAACAATTAACCAATGCTTGAGGCCGATGTAGGGCGGCAACCTCGGAACCTGTCCACCTTTCGCACCATTTCTGACCACCCGACAGGTAAAATGCTTGTTTTTCTTGTATGCCGCTGCGAATAAGCCCGGGTAGGCCATAGACCGCCCACGGTTTTTCGAAGCTTTAATATTAATCTCATGGTCTGGTATAGCTAGGACCTTTATCAGAAACCGACTTTGGGAAACGCAATGGTGCATGTGGCTTCAGATGTCTCCCATCTCGGAAACCAATAGCTAAATTCCCGTGCAAAAGTTTGTCATATGACTCAACCGTATGACGTTATCAGATGTACTCAATCTGGTGACGTCGGGTCAACAGATAAGTCAAGGTTAAAAATCTCAGTTAAGTACTTATGACCTTAAGCTGAGTAAAACTGTAAGATTACGCGACCATCTGTCAGTCGCACTTTCGTACAGCGTGTACCGCTCATCACGTTGCACTCCATCACATCACCTGCTGCGAACCCGATCACATCGGGCCGCTGTCGAGACTTTCAAACGCAGGCGTCAGAAGTGAAATGACATATCGACGATGAAGACTGTCGGTTCTGTTCCAGAAAATCTAACGACTCTCTCTCTCTCCTCTCTCTCTCTCTCTCTCTCTCTCTCTCTCTCTCTCTCTCTCTCTCCTCTCTCTCTCTCTCTCTCTCTCTCTCTCTCTCTCTCTCTCTCTCTCTCTCTCTCTCTCTCTCTCTATGCTGTGATCTCTGAGCATACTCCATCCACTCTGCCAACAAATATTCACCGCTCGACTCCTAGCTTGCAAACTCGCTCCAGGGTGTGAATCTGATATCTTTGCGAGTCACCTTGGTGACAAGACAAATACATTGCGCTAGCACAAGCGTTTCAGGTGAGCAGAACGTTTGAGATTTCCCTCATCTCAATGCCACCCGTGCCAACGTATCACCGGACGATATGAGCACAACGTCAGATGAGAAATGTCAGGTCTGATCGACTGCAGCCCGGCGGCGAAGGAACGCTAAACCGGCCTCAGCGCTCTGGAACCGTGCCAGCTGAAGTTCATGGTCCCCGGGTGCCGCTGACATCAGGCCGACCATGGGGGTGGGTGGAGAGGGGGACCTGCACGCCAGTCGAGCACGTGCCGATCACGATTTGCCGGAAGCAACATGGAATCTGGGAGGACATCCTGGTCTGAAAATTGTGTTTTATGAATGGGAAAGCCTCGAAAGGTGCATTGCCCGGCCAAATTGTGGTGACAGAGCTCAACTGCGGAAAACCTGGAGGGCATCTTCCCCTGTTCTACTAGTGGTTACGCGCATGAATTCTAGCTTCTACTTCGACTTCGCAGTTCCAATCTTCGCAGCGATCGGCTTCAGCCACAGGTGGGGCTTCATGTCATTTTCTTGACCTTGGATCCTGCTTAGAAGTAAGAAGCCTGGCTTCATCTCATGGCTGATCGAAGCCGAAGATCAAGTCTCCAATATTGCTAACGGCCACGCTGAGCGGGTAGTAGCAGTGCGCTGTCAGCATCATGCGCAGTGCGCATAGTTGCAGTGTGACGTCACACAGTCCCGGGCTGACAGCGGCGGAGAGCCAGACACGGACCTTCTGCTGTGATGTCTGCTGTGTCTGCCTTCGACGGAGTGCCAGATACGGACTTTCTGCTGTGATCCATCAGTAAGCACAGGAAGGTGATTCCGTGGCGGGGTCAGTGCGTGTGGGTGGGGGCACAGGTGTCGATTTGTATTCTTTTGCGTGCACCTTTTCTCCCCATGTCCAATATCCCCCCCCCCAAATCTCCTAGAGGCTAAGTACGAGAAATAGAAATAAGAAGTGGAAGTGAAAAATGTCTCAATTTTAAAGAGATGTTCTACTGATTGTTCCACAGGTACAGGAACAAAGAAATTGCAATTTGCGATGTCATGGCCAGTTTAGGGCAGCTGAGCTAATCGCACTTTCAAAGTTCCACGTTTATACCATGTTTGCTTGAGTATTTTCTGCTTTCCCCGCATGCTGTATGTTTCTAATTACACGATTAGTGTGTCTTGTCGATTCCGTTCTAGTTTTGTTCTTTGCCTCAGTGTTTTGGCATTATTCAGTGATGTTGCATTTTCTGCAGGCTGCAGTAAGTTGGAAACCTGTTATCAGAAATTAAAAGCAAACTGGTCGAACATTAACACCAATAGTCGTGACCAAGGTATAAGTCGCCTACGCTGGCGCGGAGTTTGAAATTTGCCAACCTTTATCTATGTAATTTTGACATTGCCCTCTAAACAGATGCGCAGCGACAGCGAGACGAAAATAGAGATTCTAATTTTATCTGTCTGGTTTCACCGCCACATGCCAGCACCAGTTCGCGGTGCTGTGAATGTTAATCCGTTCCTCTATGAATATGCAAAAATTGCATAGGTGAAGCAGATGACTTTATCTGCTTCACCTACACAGATAGACGTATGAATCTGCGTATGTGAAGCAGATACGTTAAGTTTATAAAGTCGTCTTCACGAAGAAGACGACCTTATAAACGCACGAATCGACATCGTAAAGCGTTTAAAGGCACTTCTCTCAGAGACATTGTCGTTTTTGCCTGTCGGCTGGCCACCATCTAGTGTTAGCCGCGGGCAGACGCCACGCGGCTTATAGAGACTGCAACGTCGGACGCCAGGGTTTTTGTTCGAAGACTTGGGAGCGTCCATGGTCAAAACTCTTAGTGTTTTTTCCACAACTCGATTCTGAAAAAGGCTGGACATTCCCAGACAGGCATTGGTCGGCTGTTCCAAAGCAACTTTATGACCCGATTCCGATCTATAATCTACGCACACTATCATCTACATTTACAAAGCCTTGCACACCTCAGAAAAATTCCGTCAACCTCCTGATTGCGCTCGGCTAAGGAAATTCCACTGAAGCATTACAAAATGAATATGGCCGGTGGTTTATTTCACGAAACCATTTAATGTCTGGATCTTTCAGCGCCTTTGGCTCCCATTTCAATAAAAGAAGGTAAATAGTAAAATAAAACGACGAAGACCGTGTCACACGAAATCGGGTGGGTTATATCCGGGGACTTTTTGTCTTGGGCCTTTCACGAGGACGGGCCCTTTGTCAACCCTGTGTCCCTCTCCTCAACTTGCCAAGACTCTGGCTGCGCCCCGAGCGCAGCCCGGCCTGGCCCTGCCAGGACCCAGTCTCTTATATAAAATGGATCAAGCTGCGGTTCTGCCCAGGTAAAACCAAGCTTGTGCCAAACTGGGCATGAAGTGCGGTTTTTCCGCGAATGTCGTTGCAGAGTGTGAGTGGGATCTGGTTCGGCTCAGGCCGATTGCCCAGTCGCATTCAAATTCTGGCGCGGCATTCGCCAGCGGCCGCACCACAGCTGCACTCGTACGTGCGGTGGTGTTAGTATTGTGAATGTCGTTGTGCGCGGTTTTCCTATGGTGTGAGCTGGGAAAACAAATCGAAGTGTGTTCCAGCCGTGCAAACATTCAGACAGGCTGACTGCATGCTTGTTAGGACACTCGTTGGCAACATGCAGCAGGACCAGATGAGTTCAGAAATCATATTTGAACCGTGGATTCAAAAACATTAGGTGTGCGTTATCAGCTCCCAACAAGTTCTAAACTATGACCTATACAATTACTTACGTTACTAAATGGTGATAACAAGGAATTAAACGACCATTTGACCTGTGGATCACTGCTTTTCGAGATCCCGTTCAGTTAACCGAGCATCCTCACTTTAACGATGTGGTCGGTGTGAGCTGTAGTACGTGGCGCCAGTCCAGCCAGAAGTGAGCCCTGTTTTGAACTCCTCAGCGGCGGATGATGATAGCATTGCCGGTGATAGAGGGTTCCAGTCATTTACGATCTGCTGGGTGGGTTCCGACAAACAAAGGTCCTGGCTTGAGGACTTCTCAGCTTACGCTGGTGTCGTCTTGTCACTTCCGTGTCGTGCCGTGTCAGGAAATCTCCCAGTGGCAAATGTATGCCTTCGTGAAACATTTGGAACACTGCAGCCATGTCTCCCGTTGCCACGTCGGTAGTACATCGAAGGCAGTTGGAGGAGTCTGAGCTCTCAGGACATGGCCGGTGCCTTACTTCTCGGACAAGACGAGTGACTCTTCATTGAAGCCGTTCTAGACCCCCCTGATCCAGTTTGTCGAACGGACCTCAGGTGAGGGTGTCATGCCCTCTAACAGCTGCGCCAAAGCGAGAATACCGTGGTCCTGGCAAGAGTGGCAGCGTGAAAACGTCAACGTTGGCGAATGACAGTTTCCCGACTGCCAACACCTGGTTGGTCTTAGAAACTGTGTCCGCCGTCTGTACGCGGAGTATGAGCCTGCATGAGCCTCCACGAAAACTCCATGACACTTTTCAAGGGGCACGTCCGCGATTTCGGCGTCGTTCAGGAAGTTGGTCAGTCGCGGGTTGCAAGTGCTGATGTGCATTACTTTACATTTGGATGCGTGGAATGGAAGCAATCGTACTTCTCCGACCATTTGGCCAAGCCATCGAGGTCAACATGTAGAGGAAATGCGGCTAGGGACCTCGGAACGCGGCAGAGCATCTTA